CGCGTGATTTGTCCTCTCTCAGACTTTCTGATGCAGAGCAACCTGTTTTCTGGTTGGACCTTATGCCGGAGAAAAGTGTCAAAACAGGTTTTAATTTCCGGATGAACCTGTTAAGGTAAGATGGAAGGCTTTTTTTTTAGAACCGATATTATAGTAGATGATTTTTTTTTTATTTTTTTTTTTCTTGAATTTCCTCGTCTTCAAATGTATTTTTCGACGCCAAGTGAATAAAGCACGCTCCAGTTTTAATTGAGTGTTGCAACAATGAGAAGGACAAATGAGAACAGGGGTTACCGTAAATATTTCTTGGAGGGAATAAGAACTGAGAGGAAATACATGTAAGTAGCGTCAAAAGAAAGGGAAATTGTGGATGCCGGGACGCGATTCACTTCACCTTGTTCTACGCTTTCAAGCAACAAACTCTCGAATATTTAATAGACGTACTTTATATTTTATTAGGGGACAGTTGAAAAGCGTGAGGTACTCAGACTACTTTGACAAGATTTTCCAGTTTACAAAAACAATGTTACAGCATTTGTACAGGTAGGTTTAGTATATCTTTTGATCTTAAACATTTGTGAGTTACCTTTTAGCGATTTACATCAAAGGTGTTAAAATTGTTCACTGGGTGGTCAGCCATGCGAACTGACGTAAACCCCAGGGGTTCTTGGCCGAATCCCACCGGTTTTTCTTAACGGATTGTTTCATCCTTGTATTGCTCTGAGTCAGTGTATCAGCCATTTATAGATGTTGCGCCAAAAGTGATTCTAAGAAATGAGATCTCTTCATTTTTTAGAGTGGATGAGTTTAATAAAAAGGATTTTAAGAGGAAAATCGAGAAGGCGAAAACGTGTCGTGAGCTTATACAGGTTCTGAAGGTGAGATTATCTTTAGTGAATATTTTCATTACGCAGATAAAATTTACTGTCTCGTCGTAATAAGGTTCATACTGAGAATAATTCAGCTGTTTGCTAAAAAATTCTGATTGATTGTCCTTCAATTAATTTTCTTGTATTATATTTTTTGCTGGTGTTATTCTGTCTTTCTTAACTTTGAGACCTCTCTCCGAGATTGTAAGGAGCCTCTCATGCCATCGCCACAACTTTCTGAAAATTGCTCTTTGAAAAGCATGAAGCGACAAATACCACCACCGCTCCTCTCTCTGGAAGTGGTGCTAG